TTTCAGTCTTTGTGCAGCTATTCTAATTAGCTGGCTCTTTTGACAGCATCAGCTGCTGTTACAGAGGTAATGATTTACCTATATCTGTCAGAGAGATTTAAATACTCAACTAGCCTCAGTTCATTTAGTCATGCCCTCAAAGAGATATGAATAGTATAAAATTAAAAAAAAAGCCACCAACAAAATGCTTGCAATTTCCTTTGCTTGACCCTAAGAAAATTTCAGAGCTGACTTTTAGAGTATTCTAATTATTTGAAGTCACCAAAACACAACATACATCTACTAAAACTCCACAGTTCCTAGAGAAATAGAGAAACTAGGGCAAGCCCAGTAGTTTACGACATCAGTATGTTGCAAAGATGTCACAGCTCCTCTAATAGGAACAACTGAGATATATTTTTCATGTTTAAAATTCTTAGTGCTTAAACTGAAAAGAAGATTTAAGACAGTGTTTATGCTCCTTTCCTCTGGTTTGCCTCAGCTGGGGATTTTTTTCCTACCAGAAAAGCTGCAAACTCAAATACCTTGTAATTAATGCCCAATGACACCAGTTTTAGAGCACTTTGTTAATTTTGGTATTCATATATATCAGACAGATATCATGCATACATTGTGCTTATGCACTACAGATACACATTGTATATATATATATTAGTGTAGGCATACACAACATTAGAGATTAGGAAAAGACTTATTAAAGCATGTCATTATTTAGAATAACATTCATATCACTTCCATCTTATCAAGATTTGAAGTTGCACTCCATCATCAGTTTCATCTTACTCAATAGATAAATGATTTTTTCAAATATTATCTATAAAATGTATCAATATGCAGTCCTACTGCCACTCAGCTTCAATAAACATGGAGTATCTCCTTAGTCCTTCATCTTCAGCACTTTTCCTCTAGTTCTAATCTTGTTTTGCCAGATGAATAATGATTGTCTACAACCTGTCATAAATCAAAAGTGATTACTCCAAACCAAAGTGTCTCTCTCCTCTTTCTATTTTAAGCCCAGTACCCAGCCTACTACTATCAGTTACAGAGGTAGTCAAGCAATAAGCACCTGTACTAAGAATACAAAAATACAGATTTAAGTCAACAAGGCAGCACTCGTGAAATTTAGAATTAGAAAAACCAGTAATGTTAGATTCCTGTAGCTTATAAACTCAAAGCACTCAGATGAAGTGACAGCTATAATAACTGCAAATGTAACTCAGATCTTTACACGCTATATTTTTTCCTTCAGCACCAGGTCCTGTCCCTAATTATTATATTAACTGGTACTTTCAAAGTTATCAACAATACAGTCAAAGTGTTCTTTGGAGATGTTAAGATTTTTGCTGCACTAAGTGGGGAAAAAAAGCACTTTGCTGAGGATCATTTAAATCTCAAATTACAGACTAGTCCTCTCAAGTAACAGCATAGGGGGCAAAGAAAATCCAGACAATCTGGGACAAATTAGCACAAGATGGAGCTTAGGAGCTTCTATTAGTAGAAATATTGCCAAGTCCTTTATTGTGGAAGCAGCCTTTAAACAATTTTTATTTTACTGGATACTAATAACGGGATATTTTTTCCTCCTTTTTCAGTTCAAATTCAACTGCTATCTGATCTGTTCTAGTAAACCCTAGACTCTAAAACACAACCAGCTCATATAAAGGAGATGTTTTTGGTATTTACTGGAGGATGTAACAAAGAGTGAGGTAAAAGCCACCCCACCTCTCTGTGACTCCCAAAGCCTTACTTGCACCTCCCAGCAGAGGTCAGGAAGAGAGGAAGCAAGCACTCCATGGTGATGGGCCTGTGCTCAGCTAAAAGGAACAACACCAGCAGCTTCAGCTGTTACAGGGTGTGATGTGTATGGCAGCAATGAACTTGTCTGTGGTCTCCTGGGTGTTTGAGGCCATGAACGAAAGACAGGGTTTCTTTTTTTTTATGTTGAACCTGATCCACATATATGGTGTCAAAATAATCTTTCACTTTCTCACTGACAGGAAAAAGAACCCACCAAAACTAAGCTATTAGGGTATGAAGCATTCCTGGCTTATGCTGGAGTTCACATCAGGACCCTGTTGAAAAATTCAGAAAATTAACATATTTTTAAGAAGGAAGCTGATAACATTTTGCAACATGTTTGGGAAAACATAATCAATATGGTTTATCCAAAAGAGATAAATCTTCACTTGTGCAACCTGAAAGTCCAGTCCAGACCACAACATTAAGTCCAAAAGTACACACGAGGTAGTCTTGAATATTCATGGAACATGGCATATTAATGATTTTCTTGTCCCAATATTCTGGGGAAATTTCTCCTTATACCTAACAGAGGTGCAAAAGGGAATGGATTAAGTATTCAAAGAAGATAAACTCATTCACAAACCTATTTTCTTGGCAGGGAAAAGAACAGAATTTCTGGTCTTGAGCAAAGTTTACTTTGATAAGGAGTATGGAAGGGCTCGCAACTAGTTCAGCTTTTTGATAATATCAATGATTATATCAATATATATTTTAACCTGTGGAAAAGATTTTTAAGCCCAGAGCAAGTTTTGGTCTGTTGACAGTCCATGAGAACATTCAGGTCAACAGGTTATGGCTGAAAGAGCAAACATCGTTTAAGCACAAAATTAGAAACCGCCACTACAACTGGCAGTGACACATTCCCCAACAACACTACAATGGATAAAAAATTATTTTTCATATTTTTAAGTTAAAAAGAAAAAACATTCCACATTAAAAATACCTTATGCAAGCTCTTATCTTATTGAAAAGCACTGAGAAGTGAGCTGATTTTAACTCTCAGCACTGCATTTCATAGAAACGCCTATGCTGCACAATGATCTAATAAGAAAAACTTTATAGAGGATGTGTGGCACAAAGCAAAGTGAAATCCATTGTGAACTTTTTCCTTTAAGAGTACAATTTTTAAAGTAGGTATGTTAAAGTAACTACTCGGGAAGTGAGCTGTATTTAGTGTGTCATCACACTAATACCTGGAAACTCTAATTATCAGACACACGCTACAAAGTTCATAGACCAGATAAATATGAAAAGGTTAATCTTTTTTATTACACTAAGATGCATCCTGAAAGTTAAAAGAGCAATAAAGACAATCACTTTCTGTTTGCTACAGCTTCAACTTCAGCTACACTTCTATTTTCATCCCATTTCTACTTCCATCACAAGTCTTCCACCTTTAAAAGATTAAAAAAGAAAACAGAATATATCTATTAACCATTAATATAGAGTGCAAAAAGGTGACATAATACTCTTTCATAAATATTAGATTATTTCCATAACTGTTTAAAACCTACTCCTACTCAACATTTTCCACTCATCTGTCACCACCTAATACACCCCTACAAATGAGCAGAAAGAATTTACTCAGTTACATCTCTGCTACTGACACCCAATCCTGTTTGTTCAGAGCTGGAAGCTTATGTTTTTCTTCACACAAGGTCAGAGTAAGAGAAGATACCCCTCTCCACTGTATGTCTTGGGTCTCATAGTAGTCCACACCCATTTTTCAGCCTGAGACTGAGCAGAAAAAAGCCAGTTCCTGCCAAAAGCCAGCTGAAGCTCCCCTCTCCTAACAGAGGGTGAAGGACCAGACTCTACTTTGGTTCACATAATTTTTTTTGGTAACAGCTCAGTCTTTAAGAATCCCAGATGCTTAAGACTACAACTACTTGTCAGAAAACAGCTGTCACCTCATTCACTCCCACAGGTCTCATTACCCACCGGTATACTCAGGGGTAGTGGGGGAAGTCTCTGATTCTCCACACTCAGAACTTTGTGGTTTTCTAGTTGGTTTTTTATAGCTCTCTGTCAAATGCCAATGAGCATATACCCACAAGGGGGAAAAAATAAAATAAAAACCCAACCACCTCCACAAACATACTCCAGCCTTCCATACGTATTTATACACTCGCTCACTTTCTACGATCCTTCACTCACGCACAGGTACTCATCACCTCGCTCGCACACACACACCCTATGCCAGTAGCCTTCTTTTATTATACATGGAAATAAAGAAGTGAGGGAGCACATTGCACACGCTCATGTCCTTTGCACGGGCAGGCATCGCGGACACCTCACACAGACCCCGCCCGGCTCCCGGACCCCACAGCAGGCACAGGCACAGACACAGACACACACACACCCGATATTCCTGCTCACAGAACACGAATGCAGGCTCCCGGAGAGACCCGGGAACACCAACACCAGCCCTCCCTCCGCGCAGCACACAGGGAGACCACCGCCACCGCCACCCCCCGCCCTCCATTGTGCGGCGGCCCCGGAGCGCTGCCCGCAGCCGCCCGGCCCGCCGTGCCCCGTTACCCGTGAGGCTGCGGAGGACGGTGCCGTGAGCCCACAGGCTCAGCACTTGCTGCACCGACAGGTTGATCATGGAGTTGTCCCCCGCTTCCACCTTCATGGTGCCGCCGCCGGGCGGGGTCCGGCAGCCGCCGGGCCGCGGGGCGGGAGGGAGACGGCGGCGGCGGCGAGGAGCGGCAGGGCGGGGAGGCGGCCGAGGGAGCTCCGCGCCGCGGAGGAGACATCGAGGACGGAGTGGAGGAGGCGGCGGCCGGGGGGAGCCGGGCGGTCTCGGGGCAGGAGGGGAGCCGGCCGCTGGCGCTTCCCTGCCGCTCAGGGGCAGGGCCGGGCGGTGGAGCCCATCATCACCATCATCATCATCATCATCTCCGCCTCCTCCATCAGCAGCGGCCGCCGCCGCCTCGCCGGCGGCATCGTCACCCCGGTCACCGGCATCACCAGGAGCGAGGGCGGGGCGGCCGCGGGCCGTGCCTAGGCGGGCGGCTCCATGCGGGAGCAGCGGCGGCAGCGGGGCGGCTCCCGGCGCCAGAGGCTGCCGGAGGGGAGGGGAGGGAGCGGCGGGAACGGGAGCGGGAGCGGGGCAGCGGGAGCGGGAGGGCGGCCCCGCGCAGGCGCAGCGGGAGGAGCCGGGGGGGGCGCGGGCTCCGCCCACCAAACGGAGAGCCAGCATTCGGAATCACGATTTGACTCAAAGAGGGCGGGAAAGACTGGGAATGTCGTGGACCCCCAAAGAAACTTGCTTTAGCAAGTGTCTCAAATAAAATCCGCATACACCTATGGAAAATGAAGTGATAACATTCCATGGTGTTAAAGCTGGTATTTAAGTTGATGCTGCTGAGTGCGTTTAAACATCGGAGGAGAGCAAAATGCAGAATCTGAATTCTGATGAGAGCAGTGTTGTCAGCTCGCCGCTCACAGCCTTAGCCCACAGAGCTGTAGAGGGCGCGGGTGGATTCAGCTCCACGGCTGCCTCGGAGGGGTCTGGGGACACAGCCCCGGCGGAGCAGGACGGCACAGGACAAAGGAGCGGAGCGCACAGGGGGAGCGCCGCTAGGAAGTGCCGGGGCTGCCGGAGCGCAGGTGACAGCACGCGTCGCAGCGGAGGAGCTGCCATCCCGCTGCTGCCATCCCGCTGCTGCCATCCCGCTGCTGTCACCCCGAGGCGCCATCCCGGCAACGCTGCGTGGCGTCCCTGCCCGTCCTTCTGAACCTCGCAGCTCCGCCGTCACTGCGGCCGCAGGTTAAAGCCGCCGAAAGTTAGAAAACGTCAGAAATCGTGAGCGAATCTTTATTCCGTGCTTTTGCTTTCTTTATGTAATAAAGGAAAAGACGCTTTAAGCTGGATGCGGCTTCTTTCGAAGCACTGCATGCACGATGCTTACCGATGTGAAAGCCAGCAATCATCCCGCATCCATTCTTAAATACGCATCCCGAGGCCACATTTAGTGCCCGCACTTCCTCGCTGGCATTTCTTCAACAGTGCTTGCTACAGTACTTCGTAAACATAATTTTATGTCAGCATCCTTTGATGGAAAGGGTTGGAGAAGTAAAGCAATTTATAATAAAATTTGCAATTTATAGATTAAATCAGCTCATATCCTGCTTGATGCCAATAACCCGGTTTTTTTCAGATAGACTTTTGCAGGATGTCTGGTTCAGGGGTGTGCTTCCAAAGCCTTTTGCAGCTGACAGTACTTGGCGTTTCTGCAAGTAGGTATCGAGCCAGGCAATGAGAAACTCACAGGGAACAGCTCCCTAGGGGGCTCTGGGTTTCACTGGTTAAGCATGGCATCTCTGATGGAGAAAGAACTCAGCTGCTGGGCCAGGACACTGTTCTATGGTCAAGAGAAGGTCCTTTCTCTTCCCCTTCTTATAATTCACCACTTCACAGCTGTGTAAGTCAGGCCCTAGAGAAAACAGTTCCCTTCATTATACAGTAGTGATTTATTTTTAGGGCAGAATTACTCCATACTTGGAGTAGGGCTCAGTGAGAAAATAGCATAAAACTTAAGTTTGAATGTGAAACATACAATGAGTTATTTAGGAACAGTTTTTATGGTTTATTATTTTTAACTCCTGCATGCCAAACATTGAGAAAACAAACATTTTTAAATGTCCTTAAATAAAATCCCCACCCCTAAATTTATTTTTGTTGCAGACCAATGTCCCAAGAACCAGGTACACTCTGCAGGACACTGTGGTGTAATAGAACTTACAGTAAAAAGGAAGACTACTTTTGGTGACCATTATCTCATAAATCTTCTATGACAACCTACTGACAGATGTCAGCAAGACTATCTGAAAGGCCAGAGGCATGCATGGAAACATGCATGTATCTGTAAACAGTGCTGCATCAGTGCCTGGTGACCTTCCAACCTGCACATGGACGATTTCCTTGTGTTCCACACAGGGAAGAATGCATGGGGAATTCTGGCTTCAAAACACTAGCAAGTGTCCAGAACTTGCTAGAACACCTTCCTCAAGGTTTTACAGTAGAAGTACAGGGAGCACATTCACGTAGAGGTCGAGTGAGTATCTCTGTAGTTCGCAGATTCTTGCAATATTTCCTTCAAGGATCATCCTTCAAGGCTTTGCAGATGCTCTCTCCTCCCAGGGAGAGCTGATCATTCTGCAGCAGTACAGGGACAGCAGGAACACAGAGCTTCTCCTCTAAGTCCTAGGAGAACAAACCAGAGAGATCCACCAAAACCACAGTCCAGCTTCCACTGAAACTCCATCTAAGAAGCTAAAAATTGTTGTCAAACCTCAGGCATGCAACACCTAAATTAACTGAACATTTTCTATCAAACACCTCCAACATGCTTGGACAGTGTTCAAGTAATAAAGGGATGGAGATTCATCTTAAAAATGGCCATAATTTATATAATTTATTCAACTTCATCCTCAGCCCATCATTCAGCAGGTGAGATGGATAAAAATTTGAATGCAAATTCATCATGTGTGAACAAGGCTAACTGGGTCATTCCGGAAAATAGGAAAATATTGCTAAAGTACTGACTTTAAAGCAAATTTAAACAAGAGTCATACATGTCAGTGACATTTCCCAGTAGCACAAAAATAGGAGGATGTCATTCTGGAGAAATGGAGTCCCTTGAATGAAGCAGCAGCAGAAACAGTCACAATTCACTCTTCCAAGCTGCTGCTTCATAGGAGCAGGGAATTGCAGCCAACTCTGTCCTCAGCAAGACCTCCCACATGGGTGGTGCTGCCACAGAATCCCGAGTGTAGCAGCTCCCTGCAGGGATTATTGTCAGCTCTGTAGGCAGTGATGCACGGAGCAACAGCAGTGATGGCAAAGGGCTCCCAGCAGGGCTTAGGCTGCTGCTGGAACTGTGACTCAGGGGAGGGATAAACCACCTGTGCTTGAGCAAGGCAGGCAAAGGGGGTGAGGGCTGCAAACATCTCAGGGAAGAGAAACAACAGTGGGCAGCACCGTTCTGATAAGTGAAACGGGAAGGAAAAAGAAGAAGAAGAAAGAAGGAAGAAGAAAGAAGGAGGAGGAGGACATAATCTCAGAATTTCATCAGATAAGGTAGCTCCATTCCATAAATTATTAATGGTTAAAAACAGAGAAGGAATCCTTTTGCAAGGGCATGGTAAGACCATTTCCACTGCTGTGGCACCCTGACCATGGTGGGGAGAGGCAGAGCAGAGAATGTGGGGATGGATCAGGGAAGGTGACTGTGCCAGAGAGGAAGACTTGCTAGTAGGATGGCAGAGGGAGGGCTGGCAGGCTGGGTATGACCAGCTGTAATAATCCTCTGCAGAGCAAGGATCAGGAGAAGGCTTGGAACTGCAGGGAAAGAAGCAAGGGAGGGGAGAGAACCTGACAAAGAAACTTTCACAATTTGTGTAGAAATCCCAGGTTTGCACTCCTGTGTGGTATTCCAGAGGCAGGGACACAACTCACAAGGTCTGCCTGACAGCCAGCCCTGAGCCACCACAAACACCTGAGAGACTCCAGGACTCCTTTACACATCCAAACCCAAATCCAAAGGGTCCATGGGGAGCACCTGAAAGCTTATACAGGGACTGATCTTCATCCCAGATGAGCTCATTTTCCTTCCCCCATTCCCCTGTTCCCTCACAGCAGCTGGGAGGTTTGGGAGTGTGCAAAGCACTGCAAGGAGCCAGCTGTAAACTCTGACTTCAGCCAAAGGAAATTAGTTTTACAGGTGGAAAAGTAGGGTCAGCTTAGTTTCTCTGCTCTGCAAAAGATCAGAATACCTCTACATAAGTTGCTATTAACTTCTGGTACTGTTTTCAGAAGCTAAAGAAATAATGATAGATTTCTTTGGAGAGCCCTTGGCTGAATAATTTTCCACTTGGAAAGGTAATGCTGTTCAAAATGAACTGATTCCTTAAGTCACATTTCTTTAGAGACACAGACAAGACTGAATATGTTCTATTGCCATGCTCTGGAGCAAATATTTAATTTTCCATAGTGAATACAGCTTTTCATCATAGTAAAACATCAAAATCCAAATAGAAACCCCTTTTGGTCTCCTTGAAGAACAGAATTCTCAATTGAGATTTTCTATCCAGAGCTGGCCATGTAGATTGACTGGAAGTGCAGTTAAAGATCTGTTTTAACTAAATGGAAAACCCCAGCATTTGTTATATATGCGAACACTTTTTCCCTATTTCAAAGGGGTTTTTTTGGCCTTTCACCCAAGTCACTGACAAGCTGTTACAAATACAGAAAATAAAATAATACCTCTGATGTTAGCAATAGATATCTTCCTACTTGTCCCCTTTCTAGACCACCAATTTATGCACAGCAGTTACTACTCAATAGTAGTAGTACTCAATAGGAGTAGTAACAGCTGAGTTACTACTCAATAGGAGTAGTAACAGCTGGCCTGCAAGCAAAGCTGAGTTAATAGAAGAAACAACAATTGATGATTTTTGAGTGTATCCATAGCAAGGAAGAAGACAAGGCCATCAGCATGGAAACAGATTAGAAAAGAGACATGAAAATTTTTCTAAGCTAGACTACATGCCTAAGTAGATGTGTATATGGATCTTTTTAAATTTCTGTAAAACTTTTGCCAATTATATTGATGTTAATTGCTTTGCACCAATTAATATAATTAGTTATTGTGATGTAGATCATGCTTTGTTAAGAGTATATAAGGTGGAGAACACGCAGAATAAAAAACTTTTTTCTTCTTGGACCCTGATCACGTGTGTGTATGTCACATCCGACCTAACAGTGACACTTGTCCCCTTTCTAGACCACCAATTTATGCACAGCAGCTACTGCTCAGTCAGGAGAATTGGCAGCCACAGCTAGTTGTGGCTGGAGAAGCGGGTCTTTCAGACATCCTCGGCCTCCTAATCTCAGCTCTCCAAAGGCTGAAACGCGATCTCAGCCTCTGACCTCGATGACGGATGAAGATGCCTGGACAGCCATGCAGGAGAGGAAGGAAGTAAGGCGATACCACGGGCTAAATATCGCAGCTCTCCCCAGCACGAAAGCAGCATCCCAGGCTGCTCAGAGCCATCGGAAATCGTGCGGAGCCGGCTGGCAGGGCGGCAGAGGGAGGCAGAGGTGCGCGGGAGACTTTTCTTGCTGCGGCACCGGGGCTGCGCTGCTCTGCACGGCCGGCTGCGCTCTGACACCGCGGGAGCCGCCGCCGGAGCATCCCCGGGCTGTGCTGGCACTGCTGCTGCGAGAAAACACCTGTGGGTACCGAGAAACTGCAGATAGATTTATTTTTTTTAATCAAAACTTTGGAAGAAAAAAATAATCTGCTTAGTCTATTTAGATAATATGCCTCTGTAAAATACATTGATTTTTGAGCCAATAGTTTGCATGTATTAAAATGCCTGAAGGACTGAACCCACCATGAAATAGAAAAGTCCCACTGACTACTCTAAAAAGATTTGCCATAAGTAAAATTACCTAAACTTGGATCTAATTTTTTTTTAGTATTAAAATCTGCACTGTGTAAAAGATCAACTCAGCTATTTGTTTTTAACAATACCATCATTCAGAAATATAAAGCTTTCTCCTACTCTCTCTCTGCACACACTCGTGTGCATTCACACACATGTTGCAGTTTAAGGTAAGCACTACTGTTAATATCAACTGTGCTTAGACAAGAATTTTATTGCTCTTAATGAACCCCTTCCCAGGAATCCTTTCCTGTGACTAATAATGTTATCAGGGTTCATGTGAAATCTAAATTATTGTCTGTGTTTTCCTTTAGAAGTTGACTCAAAGCAGGCACTTATCTGTTAAAACTGTCAGTTGGAACAGTTTAGCAGGGACAACCATCTCTCAAGACATGGATGAGACCAGTTTCACTGTTCCTTCTGAAGATAAAGTAAAAGTGAGGAACAACTTTAGCTCCTTCTTCTCTTCACTGACATGTTCAAAAAGCCTGTTTGGCTAAAATGCAGAAAACTGGCTTCCAGCAAGACTTATTTCTTTCAGAATAGCCCTCCCTCCTCCAATTATTTTTTAAATAACTTACCAGACTCTCACAGCCCATGTCAACAATGTGATTCATAGTAGCCACATCAGGTTTCTCATATGCTTAAGTCATTGGCTAGCAAGAACATTGTCACACTATTATTTTTTGAAATATCCTATTTTTAGATTGTTTTGGAGTTGCTGGAAGTTTGATAGAGAAATCTGTTCCTTCATTTGTTAAACAAATTCTTGTTTAACCCTCACTTATGCATGCCACAGTCCAGATAGTACATAGGCATTTATCTTCTGCACATAGCCCTAAGCTCTGGCTCATCTGATTTGCAATACATTTGCATTTTTTCTCTGATTTAGAACTGAAGAAAGCTCAGGTTCAAAATATCTGAGTTTAGTTGAAATACCTGTAACTTCAAGCTTCACAATTAAAGCCATATCTGCTCTTACCCTCACACTGAGCTCCTTCCCTCCCCTTGTATGTCTCTCAATTCTTGAGCAGGCAGGAGAGGACACATCAGCATCACAGAGCAGGACATTTCCTCAAAACTTCTAGTTTTCCCCTCTGTAGCAGTGCTTTTCAACACCATAAACCTGCAAAACCACAAATATTTCAGTTCCTAAGCAGGTCCTTCTTCTGCTGACCCAGCATCCTCTAAAGTAACCTGGAAATGCCTAATTGATTTCAGTGGGCTCCAGTGCTGAATGGGGGAATTATCTGATCTTATCGTGTCTTCTTTTCATCTGACAACAATAATTATGTTTAGCAGAACTGTTACAGGTGTTTCTAGAGATTCAGCTGCCTTAGGGCAGAAACAATTCTGTTCTGCCAGTAAGGGCCATGTATTTTTGTTCCTCTTTAATATAGACCAGTTGTAACAAGTCTTACCCACTTATTTGATTATCCCAGTGTGTTTGCAGCACTGGTTTACTTACCCTAACTCTCCATTTCATCAGTACAGTCTACTTCAGATAATGTCTTTTAGGGCACCTCAACAACACCTTTGTTGTCAACATTTTTTAAAGTCTGCTGGTTCTGTCAGCCCTACCACAATCCCATGAAATTCAGAATCTGGCTCTTGGTTTAAATTTATGGGTTAATTAGAAATTTTTGGCACCACCACAAGCGTAGATTAGTTCCAACCATCGTGAGATTCCCATCTGAATTCCTGGAATTTTCAAACTATTTTAACAAGTCTTTGACTTCCTGTCATCCCCTTTAGATTTTCCTCTCCTAGTTCATAGTTCAAGCTGATCATATAAATATGTCACAGAACTATGCTTTCAAAAATACCTCCCTCTGCAGTGCCGAGCAAAACTCAAGGTAGACATAAAGAGAAAAAAACTGAGCTCATTCCTACAGCAAGGGAGTCCCATTGCTGGAAAAGAAAACCAAAATCATGTGAAACTATGGATAATTGTAACAGTTTTGGATCAGGTCTTGATACTTCATAAAATTCTTCAGGTATGATCCAAGAGGACACCAAAGATTTTCTTCTTGTTTATACTGCCTTGAATACTGCCTGACCCTTCAGTAACATTATTCCTAAAGAAAGGAAAGAGTCAGCAGCATCACTGAGGTGCACAACCAAGAATCAGGAGACACAGCATCTCTTTCCAGACCAGCCTCATGCTGACAGGTGAGTCACAGGCCAGATTCACTCCAGGCACTATCACACCCTGTGTCTTGTTGCCAGTGGCCTTGGGTAGTGCTCAAAACACAAAGTATCCTAATTCTATTTGTAACCCCTTTGGTGTTTGGTTTCTACAGTTGGAAAAAATGAGGTAACCTTACTTGTGGGGTTTAATTAATGGACAGTTTAAAATGCACTGAAAAATTCAGACAGACAGAAATCAGAAGTATAAGGTATTTGCAGAGATAAATACTTCCAAGGTGGCTTTGTTATTGTTCTGGCTACCTGCCCACAGAGCTTTGCATGCAATTTAATACCACCAGGAGAAGAAATATTTGATTTTATAGAGTTGTTAGCTCTAGCTGATCAAAAAACTGATGTGGGGAGGGGGGAAAAAAGTGAAATACTTTATTGTCAGTATTTGTCAGATGCACTCTTCCAGTTCCCTCTGAAAGGGGCTGTCATGATACTCAGTAGTCTTAAGAATGGGGTGAAAGAGTCAGGTGAGGATGGGAAGTGTGTGCTCTCACTCACAGGATGAACTTGCTCACTATGTCTGGGCTACAATGCCCTCTTTGATCCAATCTAAGAAATCTCCTTACAGGACAGGAAAATTTTGCCTCTTCAGTTGTGCAGAGCACAGATAGCTGATGGAAACTTGAACTGAGAGGGCCACAGAGTGCAGCATCCTCCGGCCCCCAGGGTCTGGAAGCAGCCTGGCCACATTTGCACGGAGCTGCGCCCAACAGGAGGAGCTCTGCCTTCTGCATTTCATCCTCCTGCACTCACAGCTCACGGATTAACTCAGGCTGCGCTACATGATAGTGATGTGCACCTGCCTGCATGGGAGTGCCTTAGGTCAGGGGGTTTTGCAAACAAGTGTGCTCAGTGCAGGCCAGGCCCCCCGTCCGAAGCCCTAATTAAAGGTGTAGATCACAATCGGTGTAAGGATGCCCAAGGCTGCACTGACCCTGAAAATGACCATCCTCCCACTCTTCCCTCAGGTCCTCCCCGAAAACAGCACTGACAAAACCATGCAGAGATAATTCTGAGACTAGAATAACAAGTGGAGTGGTCTGAAAACAAATACACCTGTAGGAATGAAAACAAACAAGCAGCTAAAGTGGCAGAACTCTGAAAACATTTGGAGATGGAGCTGTACATGAGTGTGTCCTAATTCCTTGCTTCCTGTGGCAGTAGTGGAAGAGAAAGAAGTAAAACAAACTTACTACTGCTAGGAAAGGTGGGATCTGACCCAAAGCAGCAACAAATGCAATGGTAACATTCCCAGCATATACAATGTTAGCTTTTGACTATACCAGCTGCTATGACCCTCCTCTAAAAATAATTCAAGTCCTGGTAAGATGATAAACATCATCTCACAAACATTTTCCTCACCTTATGCTTGCTTGGTAAGTATCAGAATCAGTACAGCAGAATTTGTGCATTCAGGTAGCAGTTATCACAGAAATTATAACACAAGATAAATGCATAATGTGAACAAACTTCCCAAAGGCATCAGAATTTCAATAGGTTTTCTTGTCATATGCACTGAATAAGGCATCCACTTTTAAACCATCAACAACTCAAGGAAAGCAACACAAAAAATCAGAAAGAATCTTACAAAAGGGAAAAGGGCCACAGCTAATTTAAGAAGGTGCTTGCTACTGGCATTTTACCTGTCCTTACTCTGACATCAGGAAAAAAAGTTGACTGGTTTCAGATAGCCATTAGCTGTCCTGTCCTTAGATAATCTCTGAGAGCTGAGGGGGCAGGAATTAACATACACAAATACAGCACACTTGAAAAATATTAACTAAAGCTGGGAATAAACTATTCTCTAATGGAGGTCTCAGACCTGATTAACAAAGAGAAAAACTGAAGCAGATACTTTCCAAGGGAAATGTATACAACAGAACTATTCCAGGCTTTTATGACTTGATTTTTAAAACTGGCCAAGAAGAGATTTAATTTTGTTTACTTAAACAACTTTGGAAAGAAAAACGTCCCAGTGCTCTAGCACTTTGTCAGACAGATTCCAGAGCAGAGGATTAGCTAACTGTTTGGTCTCAGTGTGCACACACACGTACCACCTCACATCTGAAAGGGG